GCCGAAGTCGGACCCTTAACCGACTGAGCCACCCAGGCGCCCCGGAAATGGCTTTCTTATACACCTAAAGAACATTCCTGAATCACAACTTTATAAATGCTAACCACATAAAAATCAACAGCCGGAAGCCACATAATTTCTAACATTGCTCCTGAAATTCACCATGTCAGTCTTCAAACAACCATCTTTAGTGTAATTCAAAGTTTCTCTAGGTTTGAGGAATAATCACATCTAGCTTTTATGAGAAACACAAATGCTTTATTCCCTCGCTGCAGTAAATAAATTCCCTTCAGCCCCCTCACTGTCAAGCATGTAGGTCTCCAGAGAAAAACACAAATCAGGGTTGAATGAGACTAAGGTTACTAGAAAAATCAAGGTACTGAATTAGAAAACCTGCAAAGTTTCTAAGAAAGAATGTATGAAAGTGGTATGAAACCAGTTTATCCATGGATTTTTCTCCAGTTCTTTATTGCTGCATCTAGACATCGGGATAGCAACCAAACATGAGACATGGACACAACACTTTGCAGAGTTTGACATCCAGACATCTGATAAGAGTTGTTTTCACATTAAAAAAAAAAACAAACCTCTTTAATTGTCCCTCAGATAATTGGGACCTTGCTGGACTCATGTAAATTGTAGGACCTACCAAGTACTCATGATACTCTTACAATGATACCTCCAATTCACATCTAGGAAATAACCAAAAATAGGAGACTGCCTCAGGGGCTAGGATTCTTGTGCTAAATCAACTCAGATTTCCCGTAAAAGTAACTCTTCAATAAAGAGGTACAAGACGTCAATAAAACCAGCACTTTCTTCATTGTACTGTTTATCTTGGCTTCCATGCCAAGGTCAGAGTTGTATTAGGTGCACCTGTGATATAATAAGGGCCTCCTATCAACCTACACGCTAAATCCCCTCAGGGAGGGTTCAGAATGGACGAACCTTCTCGCCTCATAGAGTGGGTTATGTTATTAGTGAGAAGGAATTAAGTTTCCATTGCCATGAGAGGCTGTGATTCTCACATCAGTTCCCCTGTAGAACAGTCTGGTTAGTAACCAGGAATAAAAACAATAATAAATGGATTATTTTGATATTGTTCAGGGGAGACAGTAAGTTACCTCTAGGAAGTGGTATAAGACCAAGTCCTAATGAGGGGTGGAAAAAAGAAAAGATGATTAAAAAAAAAAAAAAAAAGGACGCAAGGAACTCCGTACACTTAAATTTCAAATGTCCCACACCAAGACTTAGATGTATATGGCCCCACACTCTCCAAAAAACACAAACCACTGAATTCACCACTCTTCAAATGAACGCCTCATCGCCTCAGCAATCGGTAAGTGCCCTTCAGTATGGGAAACAGAAGTTAACTAAGGGCATTACTTTAGATTGAAATTACTCACAGCTAGGAAAACGGCGGGGGGGGGGGGGGGGGGGGGGGGGGATGAAAGCCTCCCATGGATAAGGCTACCCCGGAAGTTAAGTAGTTAAGCATGTAAACCTCGACACCCATTCATGTACAGAAAAGTCTCCTGGGGACTGGAAGGGTGGGTACTCAGTGAGATCAAACAACTAGTGAATAATTCTTCTGACCTGCAAAATGAGAACGAAGTAGTCTACAGGTTTGTTTCGCTGGTAGAGGTAGTATTCTGGGGCTTTCTTGTTCTTCTCATCATACTTCAGTTCCTGGATGACATTGGGGTGCTTTAGCAGCCTTAGAAGGATCTTCTCTGACATCTGGGATGGGCTAAATGCTTCTACTTCTATAGATATAAACACAACTTGATATTACACTTCAAATGGATGGAAAAAAATTATACTAGTGATTAAGGTGTTTAGAATATGTAAGAATACTTGGAGTCAAAGCGAAACAATACGGATTAATGACACTTCCGTTTGGTGATCCACTGGGGGCAGATTACCTGGGAGGAATCAGAAAATACTGAATTTGCGTATTTGTGTCTTTTGAATTTTTCCTTTTCAACTGGTCATTGGTTTCGGTTCTTATAAAAATTATCCTAATTTTCTGATACAAATCAAAGTCAACCAGAAGCAGGCTCCTGACTGCCAGGCCACCCTTCGAACAGGCCACAATAGTCTGACTGTCCAACAACAGCCAAAGGAAGAAGCAAAGGTCAGGAAGCATCTAGCGTGGGTTAGTACCAGGTGCACAGACGAAGTGCTTCGTCTCTCATTCTCCCACTCCACTACCCTGAGAAGGTCTGGGAACAAAGGAAGGCAGAAATTCAGAAAAAAAAAATCAAGGCACGTGCACACATCAACATGCACTCCAACTTGCTAACTAAAAAAATCAAAGTAAAAAGTAGTGTGGATCTGTATTTACAGAGTTATCCGTTTTATTTCAGATGACAAAACTCAAAATTACTAACTCAGGCTTGCTCTACTGGACCTGGACATCATGGTATCTCAGAGGCAGAGCAGGAGAACATTCAGTTTCGAATCACGGTCTTTAAACAATGAACAATATTACCAGGCTTAGAGAAAGAGTAAGTGAAAGACACTGCTTCCATGTTTAAAATTTTTTTCATTACATGAAACATAAATTCTCTATTAGCTTCGGTGACTTTCTGGTCATAACAAAATAAGATAGAACATTGTAGAAATTTGGGAAAATACAGAAAAAGGCAAAGAGGAAAATAAAATGATCTAGGAACCAACCACTCAATCACTCTGAGCAATTGGTGAGCATTTTTTTTCCCGGTACCTTCTCTAGGCCTGTGCCCCTGTGTGTGCGTGTGCGCGCGCGCACATAAAAACACAACGATAACCTTTACAGTTTTATATTGTTTTTTTCTCACTTCACGTTAAATTAGGAGTATTTACCCAGGTCATAGATGTTATACGGTGAGCATTTCTACATATCTGAAAACATGATCTTAAAGGGCACGTGACAGTCCATCAAGTGGCTACTTGAGCCTTCTGTTCAAAATGTTTTAAGTACGCTGCATGCAGCTGAAAGGCACCAGGTGCCCATCCTGGACACGGACGTCTTCTACAGGCCACTGGGTACCTTCAGATTTTCTCATGTATCCCCTGGCCAACAGAGCTCACCCTTCACCTAGAGAGCCATGTGGGGATGTGAGAAGGGTTAGTCAGTCTCAAGTCCATTCAACCTTGACCTTTCTGGAGCAGTCAAGTGCCGGCCGGATTGGTGGTTTTAATAATCATTCCGCTTGCCTCCTGGAATGGGCCCAACTTAATCTGACTTGCAGAGGCCATCAAGACATCCACGTCAAAGCCCTGAGAATTTCCGATTCCATTAAAATCATAGAACGTTAGGATTTAATTGTGAAAATCTGTTGTTCTTCTTTGCAAATCATAGCACCTGTGTTACCACTGAGGTCCAACTGTTCTTCCAAGGCAAGCTGAAGAGAGAATTACTCAACCGTCTCACACACACAACCGAGCTGGTGGCTCGCACTGTCAGCCTACTCCACCAGCGGGGCTCTCCCCCGGACTTAGCCGGAAGCAGATGACCTGGCCTACCGTTCACATGCAGTGTGGCACTAACATTCATCCTTACCTTTCAGACCAATTTTAAGTTACTGGTCCACCCCTGGTAAATGTCTCAGAGGGTTCATGCCGACACTGAACACAGGAGAGGAGAGAATTTAAAAAGAAAAAAACAAAACAAAACAAACAAAACAAAACAAAAAAAACAAAAAACAAAACACAAAAGTGGCATTACTTATCACCCCATTTCCCAGTCTCCACCCCCAGCCCACCCCAGTCAGTGGTGGGTGAGAAACACGCTCCAGGGTTTGTAGAGATTTCAAACTGTGATAAGCTGCACTTGCCTGTTGCTAGGAAACGGTGCATGGCCAAGAGAAGCTGTGGTGATATTTTAACCTTCATCTCGCTGTCTGTCTGCTTGAAGGCGGAAAAATCTTGCTTTCTTTCACGATGGGCCACTTTCTTTTTCGTTCTGTTATCAGCTGACAGAAGGACAAGAAAAGATAAAAGGAAATGCATTCTATTAGATCAGGGCTCTTTTTGAATGAAAACGACAGACTATTTTGCAAAGGCTCAACTATCTCTAGATTGCGGGCACTCTACGTACAAACACCACACGGCAAGAGGAGACCGAATCCTCATCAAATCTGTGCGGCACGGTCAGGACCCATCCCGAAGCAAGCAGTCAAGGCATGCTGACTAGGAGCGACCGTGAACATTCTTCGTGAAGATTGCTGGAGCCCTCGCAAGTACACTAACGGGTGGTCACGGACACAACCCTCCCAGAACCCACGTAACCACAGCAGCAGTTTGGAGCGCGCACTGTCTCCCGCTACTCGATGTCACCACGCTGCAGGAAAGAACAATCACCGTGTGACGGATGACACGGTGAAGCGTGCCCCTGACTTTCAGAGGCTCCTAGCCTCTGCCGAGACAGGGAAAACAAACATACGGACAAAACCTCTTAGGAAACAGACGAACAAGAACACTTTCGTGGAGCAACAGTTTAACAATGGTATCTGTTAGCTTCGTTTCTACTCCAGACCAGGAGGTCCTCAAGGTCAAGCAAATACGAAGAGGGTCATCCAGAAGAGAGGTCAGCGCACTTCTCCCGTCAAGGGCCAGGTAGTCAGTATGTGAGGCTCTGTGGGTCATGCAGTACTGAGTAACTGCTCAGTCCTGCTGGTGAGCCAAAGCACCCATATGTAAATGACGTACCGTGGCCGTTGTGCCAAATAAAACTTTATCACAGACGTGAAATTTGAATTTCATATTATTTTCACAAGTCACAAAGTAATTATACTTTTGATGTTTTTCAACAATTACCAAATTAAAAAAAAAAAAATTTGTTCTCAGCTTGTGGCCTATACAAAAACTGGTGGCAAGTACTTGTCGGCTATAGTTTGCAAACCCTGAATCCAGAAGGTGTCTAATACAAAGCCTTTCCGCAAGTATTTTTTTTTGACAAAGAAGCGATCAAGAAAAAACTAGGTTAAAGACAAGACCTCAATCACTTGCTCCTTTCCCAAGAATCCTGAGTCTGTGCATTACCATTTCATGCCGAGGGCCAAACAGACTAATTACCAGGCTCGTCCTGGGGAAAGGGCAATCCTAACCTCTCGTTTTCTTTCTCTTTCGGCTCTGATTCTTTTGCAAACCAGGTAGCATAAATCAACACCAAATTTCAAAATAACTTTCTAATGGCAAATGCAGTCATCCTCCCTGATGGCCTGTTTACCTCAAGAATATACCTAAAACCACGGGCTCACCAATCCATCTCACAAGGCACATTAGGCAACACTTCTGCATGAAATCAGTCTAATTGAGGTTTAAAAGAAGTTAGCTGAAGGGGCAACTTGGGTGGCTCAGTCAGTTAAGCATCCGACTTCGGCTCAGGTCATGATCTCACAGCTCATGAGTTCGAGCCCCGCGTCGGGCTCTGTGCTGACAGCTCAGAGCCTGGAGCCTGCTTCAGATTCTGTGTCTCCCTCTCTTTCTGCCCCTCCCCTGCTCACATTCTCTCTCTCTCAAAAATAAATAAAAAGTTTTAAATAAAAAGTTAACTGAAATGCAAATGTAAGATCTCATACACGTCTTAATTATGTTTCTTATGATGAGTACTACCCCTGAGGAAACAAAATAAATAGAAAGAGACACACTGGGTATTAAATAGTCACTGTGAGGAAGGCTGAAGAGAATGTAAACACACAAACAACAATATTCTTTATTATGTGACCTCTGTGTACTCTCCAAGTGTCAAAAGGATAAAACACATAGGAACTGGTGTTTTTAAAGAACACAATTTGTGTGTGTATACACACACACACACACACGTGATAAAAAAAATAAGATGTTTTCAGAAGCGAGTCACTACCTAAATATAAAGTTTATCCTTCTAAGGCCACATGGAAGGCTCTCATTTTTAAAGTGCAGGGCATGGCCCTTCCAGTATGACTGAATAAAAATCACTCTGCTTTAAGTAAGGCAGGCCTTGTCCCAGGTGCCCCAGGCCATTTGAAGATTCCATTTCCTCTCTAAGTCATGTTTTAAAAACCAAACAGAGCCCAGATATTCATCTCTGCCCCACCTCTGAGAGCCCCAAACATCTTCAGGCATTGGGCCATCTTTGGGATTATTAATCTCTTGAAAGAGCCCTGCTTTACTAAGAAGTGAGGCTGAAAAAGAAGGTTCAAATTCCACAATCCAATAATCCAGTTGTGGACTTTAATGAGACAGCATTCAGGTTCAATACTCAGCCCAGGTTCAAGTTTACTCCTGGACAAACACCAGTGAATCCTCCCCTCCCCCTGCCCCAAGCCAAGCCACTCCTGCCCACTTGACCCATTTCCACCTGCCCCCAAAAGAAGACAGAAGAGCAGAGAAAGGGAAAAACATTCTTATTGTGTACCCTAACCTGCCCTGCTTCCTATACCCACACCTTACCACTGCTGTCACAGCAAACTTACATTTGCAAATCTCACCTCTACCCTGGCCCATGGGTTCTGGAACAAGGACATTTAAACAGCTGCTATCCATCAATGTAGCAAATCCCCCTCACAAGCAGCAAAAGAAATTTATCTGAAAACAACTGCCTAGTTTGGAAAATAAAAACTTCGTAAAGAACAATTCTTTTTCCACCTGTAGAGGAAGTATAAAAACATGAAAGGAGTTTTCTGTTCAGGGCAAGTAAGGCCCAGATCAATGGTTAGAAGCAGCTGGCTTTTCAAAAACAAAAAACACTGCCACTTGACATCACAGGACCTGCCCATTCTTTCCCCCCTGTGATGAAGGGCCTAGAATATATCGGTAAGTTGTCCCACACATACAGCAGGTAGTTAGAAACAGGCAGATTACAACAGGAGACAGGAGAGGACTCACGAAGTACATGACAGAAAAAAAAGGCAAAGTTTTGAAAAATTACACTCCGACTACTCACTGTATAAATCTGTTTCATCTAGAATCTCAGATTTGATGATTTCTTCAATCACATCTTCTAATGTGACAATTCCCAGAACTTCATAAAATGGGTCCCCTTCTCCCTCATTGTTTACTCGCTGCACAATAGCCAGGTGAGATTTACCTTTAAAGAAAAGAAAACAAACTTTAAGAAGGAATTTTCGGAATTTTCTGAACGAAGTCTTTTATGTGATTATGTTAAGGATAGCAGCAAATGCAGACACCAGATTATCAGAGTCTGCATTTGGGCATTTCAAGATGGTACCAACCATTTCTTGATGGTATTAAGAAATGCCAACAAAGGGAAAAGCTTCCTGAGCCACGGAAAGCAAGACCATCCAATCAGAAGAGCCTCACCTTGTGTGCACACTGGCCCACACCACATTACCGTTTGCTTCCTAATGGATTTGGTCTTCAATCATGTCAGCTCTCCCTTTGTGACTTTTTAGCAACTGCTACGTTACTTTAGGAGGACAGCTGTCAAAGTGTGGTCTGTGGAACCTTAGGGATGCCCAAGACCCTCTCAGGAAGGTGGTGACGTCAAAGTACGTGCAGCAGAACACTGACATGTTCCTGGCCTTTTTTCACTGTGCTGGTATTCGAACCAATGATGCAAAGGCGCCTGAGCACAAGCCAAGGTAGTGGCAGCAGACGGTCTTCCGCCACCACACATGCACGGGAAAGGGCGAAAAAGTCCATTTCTCCTCAGAATGTCCCTGAGGAAGACGTAACAATTAATTGCGTTAAGTCTTGACCTTGAGTACTTGTCTTTTCATACTCTGTGTGGCAAAATGAGACGTACCATAGAAGACTTGTCGCTTCCTGAAGTACAATAGCTGTCTTGAAGAAAGGCACTCAACTGTTTGAGTTTTAGGTTGTGCTAGCCACGTTTTTCACTGGACATCATTTTTACCTGAAGGATAACTACCAAACTGAGGGTATCCAGACTTGGATATTTGGAAAATATTTTCTTGAAAATGAACAAAATGAGCCTGCTATGTCAAGGGAAACAACAGCAGTGTTTGCTAATGATCAACTTTGGGCTTTTAAGGGAAAATCAGAATTTTGGGAAACCCATATCCACCAAAGGCTTGAGAACTTTTCAACAAAAGACCTTTCTGATAACAAGTATGATGTCTATTTTTTTAATGTTTTTCTTTATTTTTAACGTTATATTTATTTTTGTGAGAGAGAGCATGCAAGCAGGGGAGGGGCAGAATGAGAGGGGGACAGAGGATCCAAAGTGGGGTCTGTGCTGACAGCAGCAAGCCCAATGCAGGGCTCGAACTCACGAACCAGGAGATCATGAATGAAGCTGAAATCGGATGCTTAACTGACTGAGCCACCCATGCACCCCTTTTTTATTTGAGAGATAGAGCATGAGCAGGGGAGGGGCAGAGAGAGAGAATCTCAAACAGTCTCTGTACTGCCAGCACAGAGCCCCACACGAGACTTGATCCCATGAACCCTGAGATCATGACTTGAGCCGAGATCAACAGTCAGACACTTAACCGACTGAGCCACCCAAGTGCCAAACAAGAGTGATTTTTAAAATACTGAATACTGATGGGGCACTGGATGGCTCAGTCAGTTGAGCATCTGACTATTGATTTTGGCTCAGGTCATGATGCCAGGGTCATGGGATCCAGCCCCACATCCAGCTCCATGATGAGAATGGAGCCGCTTAGGATTCTCCCTTTTTCTCTCTGCCCCTCTCCCCTGCTCATGCACATGCTCTCTAAAATAAAATTTAAAAGTAAATAAAAACAAAATACTTTATAATGAAATGGATCCACATTTCAAAGATCTGTAGAACTCAGTGAACCAATATTTTCCAAATGACTGTGGTAATGATGTTACCAAATCATGCACAGGTCATCTATTCAGAGCACAAGACATACAATTGGTTTTTCCCCCCTCTCATAACCTATTAAAAAAAATTTTTTTTAAAGTTTTCATTTAAAGGGCACTGGGGTGGCTCAGTTGGTTAAGCACCTGACTCTTGATTTCAGCTCAGGTCATAATCTCATGATTCATGAATTCAAACCCCACATCAGTCTCTGGGCTGACAGCATGGAGCCTGTTTGGGATTCTCTGTCTCCCTCTCTCCCTCTCTCTCAAAAATAAATAAATAAACTTTTTTTTTTTTTAAGACACAAAATCTTTTAAAACAAATTTTCATCAGGGGCACCTGGGTGGCTCAATCACTTATGCATCTGACTCTTGATTTCAGCTCAGACCTTGAGCTCGAGGTTTGTAGGATCAAGCCTCGTGTGGGGCTCTGCACTGACAGGCGAGGAGCCTGCCCGAGATTCCCTCTTTCTCCTTCTGACCCTCCCCTGCTCATGTTCTCCCATGGTCTCAAAATAAACTTTTTTTTTAAAGTTCCCATTTAAATTCCAGTTAGTTAACATACAGTGCTGTATTAGCTTCAGGTGTACAATACAGTGATTCAACAGTTCCATACATCACACAGTACTCATCACAAGTGCCCTCCTTAATCCCCATCACCCATTTAGCCCATTCCCCTGCCCACCTTCCTTCTGGGAACCATCAGTTTGTTATCTATAGTTAAGGCTCTGTTTCTTGGTTATAACACTGGTTGTTTTTTTTTTTTTAAATAACCTTTTTATTTTGGGATAATTTTAAAGGAAGGTTGTAAAGACAGTACAGAATTCCTGTGTAGCCTTCACTCAGTTGCTCCCCTCGTTAACATCGCGCATTGCCACAAATTATTTGTGAAACTAAGACACTGACATTGATACAGTACTAGTAAGTAAATTCTAGACTTATCTGGATTTCACCAGTATTTCTCTTAATGTTCTCTTTCCGTATCCAATCCAGAGTACCACACTGCATTTACTTGTCATGTCTCCTCTGGTATCTGAGAGTTTCTTAGTCTTTTCTTGTTTTTCATGACCTTGACAATCAAGGATTACTAGTCAGGAATCCTGTAGAATGTCCTTTGATTTGGTTTGTCTGATGTTTCCTCATGATTAGACTGGGGTTTATGGGCTTTCTAGTTACATCATATCAGGGCTTACATGGCAGCCACATGACATTCTCGAGTTTCTCCACTTTAAATTTTTTTTCAACGTTTTTTATTTATTTTTGGGAGAGAGAGAGACAGAGCATGAACGGGGGAGGGGCAGAGAGAGAGGGAGACACAGAATCGGAAACAGGCTCCAGGCTCCGAGCCATCAGCCCAGAGCCCGACGCGGGGCTCGAACTCACGGACCGCGAGATCGTGACCTGGCTGAAGTCGGACGCTTAACCGATTGCGCCACCCAGGCGCCCCTTAAAGTTACTAATTTTTCTTCTTTCCCTAATTCTATTCTTTGGAAGCAAGTCACAAAGTCTAGCCCACCCTCAGGGAGGGGTGAGGAATAGAAATTAAGCTCTACTTCCTGGAGTGGGGGAGTCCCTACATATGTTATTCAGAATTTTTTCTATAAGGAAGATTTCTTTTTTTCTTAAGTAGGCTCCAAGCCCAGCATGGAGCCTAACATAGGGCTCAGACTCACAACCCGGAGATCAAGACCTGAGCTGAGATCCAGAGTTGGATGCTTAACTGACTGAGCCACGCACATACTCCTATATAAGGAAGATTTCAGATGAAAGGATTTTAATTGAACAGTCAACCCAAAGCCCACTGGTATAGTTTCAGATTCAGATTACAACTACTCTTTAAGAAACTACCACTTGTGGAGTTCCGGTATAGTATCAAAGAAGAATATTCACAATTTCCCACCAAGGCTGTCAAAATATCCTCCTTTTTCCAAATAAATGATCTTTGTGAAGTCAAATTTTCTTCATATATTTCACTAAAACATATACTGCACAGACTGAATGCAGAACAAAGTAGGAGAATCCAACTTAGGTAATAAAGATATGTAAAGAGGTAAAACAATGACCCTTATTTTTTGTTTTGGACAAGTTACTTTTTAAAAAAATGTTATTTGCATAGCAGATTTACTCTTATCTTTTAAAAATGAATTAGTAAGTCCAGATGTTTTACCTGACTCAGTTTTAATTTCAAATACGGTAAATATCAAAAGATTTAACCTACATAAACAAGAGTTCAGGGGTCCTCAATTTTTAAGAGCTTCAAGGGATCCTAAGACAAAAAAAATTTAAGAACTACTACAGGAGATGCCCAGAATGGCAAGGGGAGAACATGTTCTCTGGAGTTGAACAGCCCTGGCTTTGAACCCCAGCACTGCCACTTCTTAGCCATTACCAGCTGTGTGGTCACCAGCAAATGACAGAACTTTCCTGAGCCTCAGTTTCCTCATCTCTTAGAACCAGGCTCATAGTAATTTCTGCCCCACACCATCGCTGTAAATATCAGCAGTAGTGTTGGGATCTGGCAAAGACAGTGGCTGGGAGTCACTGAGCCACCAATAAATGGCAACTCGTACTCTTTTTAATCTCCCTCAGTTCTAAGGCACCACCAACTTATTACCAGCTTATCTGGAGACCAGAAAACCCACGATATTCAAAGTATACCATGAAACAACGATACATTTCCATTTCGGAAAAATCTTTTAAAATAACGACGCATCTCTCAAATGCCATTATTGGTTTCCCTAATTCCAAAGCATGTGAGGCATCTGAAACATATCTTTGAGTTAAGCCAAGTACACATGATCTGGAGATTTCATGATCAGTTAACATGTATATTAGTTGTTTTTAATGACAGGGTAAGGATTTTTTTTTGGGGGGGGTCCTTTAAATAAAGTTTACTTAAAACTTCAAATTGGGTGAGTTTACCCAGACACAACCAGCTAGACAAACTAAAAATATTCTCTGGAGGCCAGGTCTGATCAAGTTCCCAGCACTTACTCAGAAACTGGCTTTGGTTGTGTGGGTTTGTTGGCCCTTTCCTGCTCTGCCTCAGACCCCTTTACGGGCAACAACGTCTGGAAGCCTAGAAGTTTAGATTGTTAGACAATTAGGCATCCTAACAATTTTTATCCTTAGCGTGCTCATGCTCAAAGAATGAAAATATTTTGAGCAAATGAGACTAGGAGGGAAACTTATCAGCAATAGATATAAACACGCATCAGGTCACGTCAGTGCTACCCTAGTCCATTCCGTCCGGTCAGTTTCTCACATCTGCTT